TGCCTGCCACAGAAAATCCCAGCTGGATGTTTTTTACATCTCTGGTGACAATGGTGAATTTTATCTCTGTGTAACTTCACACTGCACAAGAGCCTGGTCTGAAGGCTTGAACACTATGAAGCAAATAAAAATGCCAGTTTGACAACTTTTTGAAACGTTAGACATACAAAGTTGACATTAAGCTGCTTTCCTTAGCAAAGGTACTTACTACATCGTATTGGAGATGTAATCCTCAAAACCTCTTTTACAGATGTTATTTTTTATACACCAATCTCTTCAGAGTCTTAGAGAATACATACAAAAACCTTAACTTGGCTACAATAGCTGGTTACTTTGAAAGCGGTCTTAAGTACTGTGTCCTGCCAGAAACACGGCATTACCCTTTTCTTTGACAAACTAAACCCCAAGCTGAAAGAAAGGAAAGCTACGTTACCGGCCACGCAAGAACTGTGCACGTAGCGTATTTGGAAAAACACGTTTGGAAAAAGTTTTCAACTTCCAACGCTGATCAAATCACAGGAATTGCCAAATTTAAACTCAACCAGTGTTAGTAACTTAACATATTTTAATAACATATTATACAAAATTTTACAGGAACAAACTTGCGTTGTTTTATTTTTAGTCTGTTTTAAGAAATGAGTGTGTAATGCTACCAAGAATGAAACAGTAGCAGAAATAGCTCCGTGCACGAAACTTATGCCCATTTAATAATTAAGAGTGCCTGTAAGTTTATTCCATGCAGGTTCCCACGCAGAAGCCTGCGTTGATCTGCACTTCTGTGGCAGCTGAGCAAAGCTGTGCTTCCTCTTCTCTAACTTACAGTTCCCAGAACCCACTGAAACACACCCTCTTCATGTTAAGTAATCCTCAGCTACGAAAATTTTTACAAAGATAAGATTCTTCAAAAGTTCTTGAACCTTTACTGCAAACTCCTTCCCCTGCCCCACATCTCACCCCCACGATTTCTGTTTTTATGGCATACAGTTGAAACAGTGAACTCGTTTCTGTAATTCTACCAGTGCATCTGTGCAATAAAAACACTGGCAGAGAAAAGAAGTAATAAATCAAAGAGGGAAAACAGCTTTGAAAAATATTTGCTGGAATGCATTTTAAGGACATAGGTGATGGATGCAGGGAATGGGAAGAGTAACACAAACTACCTTTTGATAATCGTGAAAGAAACAAAGACAGCGATTAGAAATAAAGTTAAATTGAAAAATACTCTGCCAAAAAGCCTGAATTAAGAACATGCTGAGTGCCAGAGAGAGCTCGGAGATACACCACGTTACTAAGCTTTTTGCGTTAGACAATTAAATGAAGCAATTAGATTTCAGAAAGTAGCCAATTATTTTAGGGCTGAAACAAAGGCTGGAGGAAATACAGCTGCCTGTGTTTAGAGAATGGAGAAAAAGGAAAACAAAGCATTGCACTGGAAACATTCATGACAACCAATTCGTATAAAAGGAATTTTTAATTAAAAGTCTAGAAAACCGCTTTTAACTCAGTAATGAAAATAATCCAATTAAAAAAAAAAACTTAATATGCGATACATAATTGATATCTTCAAAAATCATAGGAAATGGCAAGTAAGTACTGAAAGGGACTGTGAAGCGACAGGGGAAGACAATCCTCCAAAACGAGAATTCTCCCGAGATGACACTTTTTACTCTCAACATGTTTTCATGTGCTGTTTTCTCAAGACTGTAAGGAAACAAGACTCTCAAGAGACCAGAAGGAAAAGGTTTTAGTAATTCCTCACAGGCAGATACTCTTGCAGAGTATCATAGAGAATTTGATAAAATGGGTAATTCAGTTACTTGTCCTACACGTTCAAAGCTTTAAGCGCGCGCTAACGCTTCAGTGCCAGTATATACCTCACAGAACACCGAAGCCTCCGTCAATTTAACTTCTGAACACACCACCTAAAAGCCCAAACAGGTTTAGAATAAGCTATGTTTTTATTTAATTAAAAAACAAATACAACATCCTCACCGCAGCATGACCAGCAGAGGAAAAATAAGGAAAACAATTGTAAGGGACTTACTCACAGGTGGCCTGTCTCCCAGGTATATGCTGCGCTGCGACTCAATTTTAGGCTCCTGAGGGCTGGCAGAGAATATTTTTTTCTTACGCTTCCCTGAGTGACAGCATTCAAATGCTACTCCTGCTAGGAAAGCTATAGCCTTTTTAGCACTTCTGAGAAATTCAGTGACAAAGCTTTTTGCTTTTTTTTTTTTTTTTTTAAATGTTCCAAGAAGGACATTGGTAAAGTAATGCCTGTTTAGCACCACTCCTTGCTTTAAAAGCGTCCTTAATATATACCTTCTCCCAATTAGATAGACAGCAATCTCATAACATAAAAAAAAGCTCGATTTCTTTTGGGTTTAAGGAAGTATTTTTTAATGAAATGTGCACAAAATTATACAATATAAAACCTTAATTCAAGTTATAAAAAGAGGTATATGTTTGAGTCCAAAAGACTTAATTTGAAAAGAAAAGATTGCTAACTGGATGACAACACATTTCCTTACAAATTGCACCCTTTTCCCTTACCCCTCCGCCCAATAAAAAATTTTTGTTCCCTTTGTTCCATTTGATTTTGTTCTCACATAATCAATTTTTTAATTTGTAATAAAACCAGCTTTTAATTGGCCCTGAGGTACTGCACAGATTGATGCAGTCTAGGTCATTGCTTTCATATGCAGTAAAACATCCACTATGTACAAATCTTAAAGAAGCAAGAGTTTTTTATCTTCTGAGGCAGAATATTGCTTGCGGCTGATAAGCATTTGGCGACAACTAACAAGTTGTATTCCTATTGATTCTTAAAATATCCTGGTTACATGCAGCAGGCAGTATACTTCTTTTCATATTCCAGATAAATGTGTCTTCTGTGAACCTGAACACTTACTACAAGTGGATATGAAAAACATGCTACTGGACAGATTGAACTTGGAACTGTTGCAGAGCTGTTTCACCACAAACATAACTCATCTTGCTAACTTCACTTCTACTCCACTCTGCTCACAACGATTGCTTAGAGGCACAAAGGGAAAAAGTCTGAAGTAATCATTTTCTTTAAATACTGTAGAATGAAGACTGTTATCTATGAAGCAAGAACATTTTAAGCTAGTCATTTAGCTGAAGTGCAGCATTGTATCTGCTACTGGAAGTCGGGAATTGACAATCGATTCTGACAAGCGTTGGAGCAGGTACTTAAGAGAACTGTACCCACCTGAAGGGCAGGCAAGTGGGAACGTCTGTATTACCCATTGCTCTTCTGCTTGCATACAATCACTGATATTTAATATGCTACAATTAGAAAAATACTTGTGAGAATCACTTAAGAAAAAACCTTAATGAAAAGGTAAATTCACATTACAGCAGTTTCCATTAACTACAGTCGAGTATTCAAGTGTCGTCGTCTAAACTAGAAGCACCAACTGCAACAAAAACTTGGAAATCGTCAATATCACAACATTTATGTAGAGTAGTGGTATATTATATGCTGACACCCGGCCTTCACAGTAATGGCACCATGTAAAAAGAACTTCAAAGGAGCTACAAGTCATGCAGGTACAGTAGCAAAAAAGAAGCCTCTCCTCTTCAAGTATCTATGTAGTTAGAAGGATGTTTGCAGTAACAAACAATCCTACTCATCAAGCAATAATGATTTCAGAGAACTTTTCCCCCTCGCATAGGGGATAGTCCCCAGAGGCTTCTACAGCCCTGCACGTCTTGAAGCTTGTGCAATTTTTCCAGTCTTAGCTTAGGCGTGAAGGCCATTTTTTGAAGTCTGTTTCAAATTAAGGCTGAAAACTGAATCTGGTCTCGTTCATAACTCTTTCCTCTGCAAGTTGCTTACAACCACTTTCAAAAAATGTAAAGGAACGGGAATGAACTAAAAAATTGCGAAGGACTTGGAAGAGCTATTGGATCTGGAGCAGCCTTTGAAGAGAACAAACTGTGGTGAAAGACAGCTGATCTTCACCTCGTATCACTAGATGAAAGTCAGTACTATGTCTTTGCTCTCAGTAGGCTTTCAGATCCCTCCACGAAAAAGAAACCAATTTGTTTTCTAGGTTTTTGTTACAGTACACACTTCTGTTACCAAGAGCACAGATAACTGCAGCTTACTTATGAGGTGAGCTGCAACTGCCAGCAGACATGACCAGACTCTGTGATATACGTTATGAAAGGGTTCCTACTAAAGAATCTTAAAACATTCATGACAGTAAAAAGAGGCTGCTGTAAACATCTGTGAGACCTACACAATTTCTTTGATACTTTCAGAGGAACATTTCCTTCAGGATGATGAAGGCACTTGATATAGAGATTTGATTTCAACTAGTTCATTTTCAACCCAGGCACATTTTCTGCCAAGAAAAAGCCACCACAATAGTTACTAGCCCTCTTACACTGCAGCCTTAGGGCCTGAGGTTACAATTGTCTTAGTATCCTTTTATGGAGAGCAAATGTATTCAACAAATTATGGCAGATACTATCTTACGCTGCTCAAAAAGAAAACCCAGTACACAGCTAAGAGGCCTACTCCTTCCTCCTTTCAGACTACTGTTATGAGAGGCCATAAAAAAAAAAAATCCAACCTCGCCATGAAATTTTAAATTACAGTTGCCTCAGAAGTGTCCCATGAATGTATTTTCAGAGAAGATACATCTGAAAAGTACCCACAGTAACGCAAATTCTGTTTTCAAGGTGGGTGGTAGAACAAAGGTGTGGGAATTTCTACAGAATAGAGTTTAGGTCTTCTAAAAGTTAAAATCTCTTAAGGGAAGCATCAAACTACAAAGCATGACCTCAAAGGAATTGTTTTTTATGTTCATCTTCATCTAACCACATATCAGCCTATTAAGGCACATAAATTACTAGTAGAATAAGCAACAGAACCAATGATATTGATTTTGGTTCAGAAGAGTAGAAGGCACTTTTAGTTTTTTCATTCGTATCCCTGGGACACGGAAGTGTTTTTTACATTGATTTCACCTGGTTCCAGTGTTCAGCAGCAAGAGCTTCTGTTCAACTCTGTCTGCCACCAAATTCAAATTACAGCCCCGAAGAGCTTTTATTAAGTCAGTCACCTTTGCATCTTTTCCCTTCCATTTCTGCCACTCTCGAAGTGACTGAACCAACTGTTCTCTCAAATTAAATGGATTGGCTGCCACTATTCTGTCCATTTTCACTTCAGAAATGCCAAGTTTTCGCATCAGCATTTTCCAGTCTCTCCCGACGTTTTCACATATGACTTCAAAAGCTGCCTCCTGCAGACCTGAAATAGCAGAAATATATCAAGTTAATGGTGGCTTTACTAAGAAATAGGAGACAATTTTTTAATTTTCTTTTTTTTTTTTTTTTAACAAAATGCTACCACTCTTGCCGCATCAGACATACTGAAGGTCATACTGTGTCTGAAAAGCTGCTGGATATACTCGGAATCCCAAGTACACAGCAGGATTTCCAAGTGACCATTTGATATAAAAAGGGAAAAAATTTTCACTCCGGAAAGCCATTTGCAGCATATGCTGCCCTCACAGTATATTTCCAGGGTACAGCACAGTCCGGTGCAGCAGTTAGTAGCAGAAACACCCTTAGCAATGGGCTCAGCTACAGCAGGCAGCTGAGGGCAGCCGTGCTGTGTTTGCTGTGGGGCATACCCACAGCTAGAGAATGCGTACAGATGTACTGGGCTTGCTTGGGGGGGTGAGGGGAATCAGAAAAATAATCCACCTACGTTTTTCATGCACATCTAGTTGATCATCAGGAGCATTAGCTTCTCGTTCCTCTACGAACTGCTTTAGCTGTGAGACCAAATCTTCTCTTTTAATGCTCTCAAGCAAGCCTTCAAGAAACGACACCTTGTCGCTTGCAATCAGCTGCTGCTCGAAAAGGATGATGAAGAGCTCCCCGCCGTTTTGGACAGACTCGAGCTTCCTTTTCCCAATTTTCCCCCGGCAGAGAAACTTCAGGGAAGAAAGCTCTGTGTCCGACAAACTCGAGGAGAAAGAGTGCAGCAGAGTCAAAAACGGATCCATGGTGCCGCCGCCTACACCGCAACCACCACCAGGCCCGGGGCGAGAGACAGGCCGCGCGGAAAGGCTGGCGGAGCCCCGTTCCCGCCCGCCGGGGGCGGATTTGCGTTCTTGTTTTCACAGAGTGACTTCTCGGGAGGCCAGAGAACGCGGGGAGACGAGACGAGACGAGACGAGACGAAACCAGACCAGACCTGGCCTGGCCCGGCCCGGCCCCGGCGATGGCGGAACGCTGGCGGCAGCCCTGCCCGGAAGTCACGTGACGGCGGCGGCGGCGGGTTCCCCCCCGCCCCCATCCCTCCCGCCCTAAGATGGCGCCCGGGCAGACACCCCCTGCTACGGCGCTCCCGCCGTCGCTGCCCGTTAGACTGGTTTTAGGAACGGCGCAGTGTTTAAAAAAACCCTCGGAGGCGAACGGGCTTGTTTTGTGATGCCGAATACAAAACGCGTGTGGGAGCTGAGCTCGGCGCGGCCGGTCTCCTGATGCAGGAGGAGCAGGGCCGAGCCCTAAGGTGGGGGAACTGTAGGTTCCCCGTTTAATACAGAATTATTGTGTTCTTGTGAGCACATATACCTACAAGGGTTACTTTCTGGGTTTTTTTGCGAAAGGGTAAGAGGAGGGCAGTACAAGGATGAAAGGACTCGCTTGACAAAGAGCAAGAAAGGGCACCTCAGAGCCCCGCTCCCACAGAGACACGATTCCCGCGGTGTCCGTCCCTGGCAGCTGCCCGGGAAAGCGGCCTCTGCCCTCCCTGTGCGGCCTCGGCCGCCCCTGGAGACCCCTCACCTTTCACTGGAAACGTGGGGCTTGCAGCCTGGGCTTTCTTCCTCACAAAGATTAATTGTGACATAAAATAACTCCTGACCTTTAAAAGGGAAGAATTAGGCAAATGTTAAGTCCTTCTATTTTAAAGGCAATTTTTATACAAGGTGAAAGGTTGTCAGCTTTTCTTAAATGGGAAAGTTCGAGTTCATCCTATTGTTTTGTAGGTCCCCAAAGTTCAGAAAAACCGTAATGGTTTTTCAGAGCAGGTGTAGGTAGTTCAGAGATTTCCTTGTTCCTTCTGCGAACACTGGCATGGTGATTCCCCAAGCTACCCCGTTGCTAAATTGTTTCCAGTACAGCCTTTAATTTATTGTTCTTGCAACACGCAAATAGACCTATGGTCCTTGTCATAAAAAGATTGCCATCTCAGATACACGAGCTTAAGCGTTGCCATTTTCCGCATCTCCTTCTCCGGTCTCACATTCCAACGTGAGGAACAACTCCTACTCCCAAAACATTTCTAAAACTCCCACAGGCGCAAGCCCTCCGTAGATAAAACCGCCAGATTTTCAGCATCCCGTCCCAGTCTGTTACACAGAGCTGGTCTTACACGTGATGAAGAAAGCCAGTATATGGAACGGGCTACACGCATGAAGCCCATCTGTGCATCCACAGCGGTGGGCACAAGGGTAGAAGAAAACATGTATTTCATACTGATTTGTTTCCCATATAATCCTCCCAGGTTATACGAATATTGGACAACCTCATCTCCTCCAAGTGAGCATTCCCTTAAAATCATTTCCTTTGCTATAGCATTAGCAATATTTTCTTTGATTTTTAACGAGATAATCCAAACATTCACAACAAATTTGGGACTTCCATCAGCCTCTTTTTTTTTCCCCTTCCTTATGTTCCTCATCCAGGAAAGGTGACAGGTCACCTAATCATGCCAGCCTTAAACAGCAGCTAACGTGCATAACACTCCCAGTCTCTCAGATGAAACATAAAAACCTGTTTAAAAGAGATATTTTTGTGTAGTCCCTAAATGCTGCGAATTGGAGGGAATTAACCTGTGCCAGGGTTTCATGGTAAAGTAAATAGTGAGAGGAACTGGCACTAAGAATTTGAGCTGCGATGAGATGTGCCTGCATTGAGAGGTGTATTTTCTTTCTGCAGCCCTGAATATACTTTGTACTGAAGGAGAGAACATTAATAAAAAGGATAGTGTCATGCCAAGGAGAAATATATTTGCAGCGTGTGAATTAATTTAGAAAGCAGATGTAAATCCTAGTAATGATATAAGAAGTATAAAATCCATTTAAATAAAATCTCATTTTAATTTTGCCAAGGAAGATGACTCTACAAAACAAGAGGAACCAAATCACATGGTGCATAGGTTGTGCCTGGTGAGGGCAGCTGGCCAAAGTCAGAGACAAGTCTGTGTGAAGAAAGTCTAAATCAGCAGAATTTATACTTTTATTCTCTATCCCTTGACGTACAATTGAAAGCAACATCAACTGAGGTTTTAATAGGTTCATAGGAACTTAGCAGCCAGATTCAGCACTGATGTACGAGGAGGTGTGAAAGCAATTCCGTACATCAATGTAATTCTAAGGGAGTCTAAAAGATACAAATCATCATTTAATTAATAAAATAAATCATCGCTTAAATGCTTCTAAACTCACTCCTAATGCCTGGCATAGTGATTTAGTAGTCCCTTTTATTATGTCTGAATCTGACCCGTTAACTCTAACTTTGACACATTCACAGATGAAAATACCCAAGCAACTTGCTTTCCTCCAGTTATTTTCTTTGAAAGCAGTTCACAGGGCTTTAGCAAAGAAAGTATTATGCCAAGGTCAACAGATCATAACTGCTCCACATCAGAATAAAACTTAATAGAAATGATTTATTAGGCCAGCTCAGATTTCAGTGGAAGTTTCCCAGAAATTTAAGTGCTATGAATGATCCAGTTCCTAACCAAATAATTCAGAGGTTTCTTGAGGCAAGACGATTCCTTGCGAAATACTGCAGAGGGAGCTCGAAGCCTGGGAGTGTTTCAAACTGAGCTTTTTGACTTCATGGTCTTGGCTGGAGGAGGACGGCAAAGAGAGCAAATAAAAAATTGATTTCTGCCGAGCCTTCAGATTACATTACGTCAGGACATTCAGGCAACAAACACCCGTTTAGAGACCGTGGACACGCAAAGGCGAAGCGTGTGGCTGCCCTTCGCGGGGCCTGTGCACCGTCACGTCGCGTGAAAGAACGTGGGGCGGCTGAAAGGTTGCTTGGGAGGGTTCATGACTTATTAAACAGCTGCTTTAAAAAGCGGTATATTCAGCCACGTGCGCTGAACAGTAAACGTTTTGGTAAAATGTGTGCGGCTGTACTGACCCACAGGCGACTGAGAAGATTTTGCATGGAAACTTTGGAAGATGCTTTGTGTTTTCCAGCCGAGGCAAGCTAGACTTCTGGCTGGCCCCTCTTTGCTCTCGCATCGTACTCCGATCTGCTGTGGGGTTGTGGAAGTGTCTGACAGTTTCTGCAGGCGCTGCAATCCCTCTGATGTAATCCGATTCGCTATTTGTGCTCATTAATAAGTATACGAGTTGCTGAGTCCACCTTTGCTGACTGTATTACTGTCAAACAACTTACTCTTGATATGACAAATAGCTTTCTGTAAATATTAATAGCTTGCCTTCTCTTTTCAGCCAGCCCCTCTTCTCTAACAAGGGATGTGCTTGCAGCATGCTGTTGACACACCAGAACCAGTTTTCATCTAGCTATTTCAGACGCTGGTTGCAACATAGGTACTTCAGCACAGTACATGGCATGCTCAAATCAGAGATAGTAATGCATATACTCAAAGAAATCGCTCTCCTTTCTGAGGCCCACAGTGCGGGCTGCATGCACCAGTAGAGTTTCCAGTGTTAACACATGTATTTTTCTTTTTTGCCTTTGTTCTGAGCTACATACCTGCTGCTTCATACCTACTTTGCTTACCTTTGGTATGTTTAAAGCTTAAATCACTGCTGTTAGTTCAGTCCTGTTGTATGAGGGTAAAGCTCTGCTCCCGGGCTTGTAAGGTGCAAAGGACGTGCTTCTGTGGGAGCTCCTGTCTGGTTTTACAGAGCAGAGATGTGAAGGACTCAATGGATCAGGACTATACCTTGACAGACTTGATGGTGTAGTTGCTTTAAATAATATGCAGGATGAAGAGATAGTCAATAGGTGTCTGCAGAGGCAGAAACTGGAATCAAGTCAAGGAGAGCTCGCTGGTCTGCTGCTGTTTCTTTACAAGCTGCTTAGTGGCACTTATTAGGTTGGCTGGGCTGATTGTCAAGGGGGAGGTAGAATTGCCAAAGGGGTATTTGTTTCTTTTTTTAGCAAGTGGAAGCAAAAAGGGGAATATCCATACAGCGGAGGTGGCGTCAAAATTCAAAGCATTCCGTCGTGATAAGAGAAACCTATATGCAGATGCACACCCTCCAGGTGGACTGCACGGTGCTTTCAAAAGCTCTGCAGCTACGGAGGGGGGTACTCTTGCCTTTTTGACCGAGGAATGAGAAACACGATGGGATGCAGTTTCTAGTTGCCTAAGTCCATAGAAACTGGAGTATTTAGGCACCACAGTGGTTTTAAATGAAGCAGCTTTGATATCTTTTCTAACTTATCAGCCAATTCAATAGCAAATAACCCAGGGTGAATTTTAAATTCTCATCCCTGACGGTTCTGAGACACAGGGTGGACAACCTTCTTGGCGTGGACTGGACATATCTAATCCTGTCTGAGTGCTGAGAAATTGTTTCTCTTTTGAGGTCCAGTCAATTATATACTACTTATAACTGCCATTCTCTCTGAAGGGAATTAGAGCATCTCAGTTTTTCTTTGTTGTCTTCAAGATAAGAGCAGTATTAAAAAAATGCAACCCCCTCCCTATTGGTTAAGTTGGGCAGTAACAGGATTTTTTTGTTTGTTTGCTTGCTTGCTTTTTTACTCCCACGGTGAATAAACTGATCTCTATAAAACTTCTTAATATACTTATTCAATGCTTCTCATCCATTGTTTGCAAAATCCTAAAATGCATGTTTTTCAGCAAAGAAATGACAGTTTCTGCATTTTCTTTTGCAAATGAATTGATCCATCCATGTTGCTTTTGTCAGATATTACCTCTGTTGCTATAACATCTAGCGTAGAAAGAAGTGCTCTAGTAAAGAAACTATTTGTGAAGAGACTT